GCTTTGTGCTGGGTGAATGATTAAGCGCAAATAAGGCGTCAGCTATCGGTGAGACATGAGGCATAAGATAATCGAACGGTGAAGGGAAGCATGAATCATGGTGCGTGGGGGAGGAATGAACCATTTGCAGGATAGTGAACAGAATGATAATCGAACGGATCTTGTGCAATTTCTACCGTTTTCAACTTGATCCTAGTGGGTAAAAATCTATGCGAACGGAAGTGCTCTGTGCAAAGAAAAAAAGTAGACTCCCGGATAGCCTGACTAGTACGTTTAAATCAGGTTTTGATGACTTTCTCGTTCTTTAGCGACGGCGCCACAATCGTCTCAAGTTGGCAAACGCCAACCGAGCCTTCTGTATGCGCGTTGACAGTTCATCCGTGATGCGTCCACCGGGTGAGATGTAGCTGCCCAAATAACAAAACTTATCCACCTGCTCTATCACTTCCCCAGTTANCCCCAGTGAGAGTGAGGCTGGGTGCTGGACCAACCCAGTGTTGTAGTAACATTTTACAATTCGAAGATGCAAAACGCATACCGAATATGGATTTACTAGCATTCAATCTATCTAGAAAAGCTTGCAACTTACCTGGATCTTCACTTAGTAGCACAATGTCGTCCGCATACTCTAGATCAGACAGCCTACCACTTGGGAGTAAATCGATGCCATTATCCTCGCACGAGGATAGGGCTGTTTCTATAATAAAATCTATAGCGAATTTGAATAGAAAAGTAGAAAGAGAGTCACCCTGAAGAACACCACTTTCCGTGGTGAACTCGGGCGAATAGGTGCCGTAAGCCCGGACTCGACTTCGGCTATTAGAATAAAGCCATGGTTCTGTTGAAATAAACTTCTCGAGCACATCCTTCAGGGAAAGGCAGCGCCAGAGTTTAGAGCGGTCGACTGAGTCGAAAGCCGCTTTCAGATCCGAGGAAAACAAATGGTGGCTCTACGAAAAGAATGCCGGTGCTCCAGAACTTGGCGCAGAGTGAAGATGTGGTCGATACAGAATGCCGGTACTCCAGAATTTGGCTCAGAGTGAAGATTTGGTCGATACAACCTCGACCGGGTCTAAAACCAGCCTGGTTCTCACGCGTGCACCGTTCGCGTGCGGCAGACAATCGGCGGAGTATGATGCCAGCGAGGAGTTTAGAGACGATGTTAATTAAACTAATTCCTCTATGATTCTCACAAGAGGATCTATCAACTTTCTTGTAAATCGGTATGATCACCGACTCACACCATTCAGCTGGAACCTCTTCCTTTTCCCATATTGAACCCAGGAGTTTTGTCAACTCCAAGACTAATGTTGAGCCTCCATCCTTAAACGCTGATGGGAACAGCCCATCTGTGCCAGAGGCCTTATCCCTTGTGAGATAACTTATTTCCCGAGATACCTCCATTTCAGATGGAGGACTAACATTGACTGGAAGTATTTGCCCAGTCGAGGTGGGGATTGATAGGTCAAATGTCGATCGGGGGAAGTTAAACTGAGAGAATATGATTCTATTCAATTTCCGTGAGTGGACAGCCGTTGCATCCGTATTAGAAATCTTCAGCAGCACTGCACAATAAGCAAGACCGGTTGACTTCGAACCCTGGATCAATGAGTTGAGAATCCGATGCACCACCCACTTGGTTCTCTCGAGTTGGTTTCTAGCAGTCGGAGGTATTGGTATTGTCCACGCCGAATTGCACGAGTCTGATGGAGAAACCGGACAACCGATGTTGAGTTTAATCGCAGTGTGTTAGGAAATCGCGGTCATTCACTGGAATAAGTGTTCAATCCCCTTTTGTTAATTTCCATGAATCGTGTTATTTGGTGACATATGAAAGAATGTTTTCCTTGGTTAATGAATGACTGAAGCACCGAAACGAGGTCGCTGGTCATCTTGACTTTGTTGGGGACCAAAGATCAGTTAGTTTTACAAAGTATTCTCTTGTTTTACTGCGTGCATGCACGGCACATTCGAGTATCGCCTGTCTGACTGCGTTGGTTTCAATGTCCGGTCGTTCGCCACAGTGATGCACACACATTCCGCGATCGACAGGATCAAATACTTCCGAAGGAAGCGACTCGAGACAGACATTGTACAACTTGACTAGACCTCAAAGTTACAGTAAGTAGGTTGGGTGGCGTTATCATGATGATCATTAACATCATCGTACAGCGAGACACAGTGAAGCGAACTTCACTGATCGCTGCCAAGCTCACAATGCACACAAATCAAGTGATAAGGTACAAACTGGAGAGAGATTGGGCCTACTTGGAGGGAGGCAAAGAAGAAGAACCTCTATGGTCAATACACAGAGTACACTACCTAAGTGGGCATACATACCTTTTCAAGCATTCTGACCTGATAAGAAATGACAACAAGAATGCCAGTGCTGTCGAATCGCTGCCAACCAGCCAGGTAGTGAATTAAGTAGTAATTATACTTCCAGTATGTAAATGCAAACGTAGCCGGTGAGCAAGCAGTGCGTCAACACACAGACAGGCAGGCACATAAACTGGCGCAAGTGTTACCAAAAGGAGTGTCATCACGCTGGGCAGTCAACGAACCAATCAATGAGGGGAGATCAATACTGACCTCTAATTCGCTGAGTGGGATCGACCTTGTAACAGGGTAAGTTCGCATGACGTACGTCCGTGCGTGTGGTGCTAGGCTATAACGGTCAATCACGTGATGCGCGGTAAACGTTTCACCCGACCGCAGGCCACAATAACAACAAGAAAGCCACCGCTGTCGGTTAGTCGCCATATCCTTTAATGTATTCAGCCAGCCAGTTGCAGAGTCTTTCGGACCCCAACCTGGAAGACGGGAGACATTGCTTCTACCTAATCGCTCTTCTTCATGTCTCGCTTCCACGTCATCTGTTGACCACCACGCGGTTTCTTCCAACCTGGAGCCGTAACTGCAAATAAGGCGCCGTGCAGCAGACGATGGCTGGACATGCGCAATACGTGTCCTAACCAGCGAAGCCGACTAATCTGAATTCGA